CCCTCACCTCCCCACCCCCCTCCACCCCCAGCTGCTATTAAAGCCTTGGGCCTGAAGACTCATTTGGGCTTCCCTGAGTCTCTATAGTTCACTAGCACTCCTGTGTGGCTTCAGACAAGGAAGGTCTTGGAGGCCTGTGCTGGACTTTTCTGGAATCCATTGTTGCATATCTTTTTCATGTTTCTTATGTTCTGTTTCCTTTCCTGTGATAAATCTTGGCAGTGAGTATTACCTGCTATTGAGAATTGGGGGTCCACCTGGTGAATCAGCAAATGAAACATGTGTGGTCTTTGGCTTTTCTCTAAACCATCAGTTTACAAACTTGAGTGTCTTCTGGCTTCTCCAGGAAGAATCTATTCTCAAGGAAAGCCCCAAAGCATTATGGAGCAAGTTTTACTAAATAATGTCTGGAGGTTGGGAGGGTTAGATAGCAAAGGAGACTTTTACATTGCACATCCTACTACATGCAACTTCATAGAATACCAGGTGACACATCTTTTTCCAAGTCCCTCTGGCTGTGTTGGGAACTGGAGAGTCTGTCTGCCCTTCCACACCATTCATAGCATGTCTCCTCCTCTCGTGAGTGGTTCAGCTTTGCCTTCAAACCTGCCTATTCTTCTCAGAGAAACAAAAGTTTTGAAGTTTTCAGGACTTACCTTCCTCAGATGACAGTTTACTGGCCATCTGTTCTTATTTCCATTCTGCTCTTGAAGATCTTACTCCTATTCCCACTCTTTCTAAATGATTTCTCTAAGTATTCTCTCTAACCACTTAACAGTATTTTCCCTGAAAGGAGTTCTGCTTCAATTTTTTCATCTGATTATATTAAAATTATCTGAAGTAGAGCCCAACCTATAAAGTAGATAAAAGCAGAGCTGTTCTGGTTGGAACAAGGTCATGGGTCAGGTCTAGAGCCCAAGAACTCAGCCTCCCAACCTCCTACCATCCCTTCCATGAGGTGCTGCCCTAAACTAAGGCCCTATGAAATGTGGTTTGAAAAACATAGCTCTAAGTTCTTTTGGGAGAACAAGACCCCAAGATGACAAGAATCCTACCTGCCTGAAGCTCAGCTATGGAGTCTTCATTTTCTGAGAACAGCCTCTCTTTCTCCTTATTGACAATGTGGTGGCCTTAGCTTCCTGTGTACCAACCACCCAATCATCTTGATCTCAGTACAACACAACAACCTCAAGACTGACAGGAGGTTCATACAGACGCCAGATCTCCTTGACTGTGAATGTGTTGCTGAGTAGATACTTAAATCCTTCCAGGTATTTCTAAGATGGAGAGGGTGAAGAAATCAAAGTGGAAAATAGATACAGATGTCCCATAATCGAGCTGCTTTTCCCTAGTCAACAATGACATCATTGCTGAGAATTACCTCTGGTTTGCTAAAAGAAATCATAGTCTTTTTAAATAGGTAGCAGGAAGACACCTTAAAGAAAAATGTGTTGACCTCCAGCTAGATCTAATTCTAACGGTCTTTTTATGGCAAGTGATCATAAACCAATTCTCTGAATCATCTTTTTCTCAGGAATTTGGGGAATTATTCCTGGGTTCTAAACGGATAATGTAAGCTTCCAAAGTTGTCATACATTCTTACTGAAAAAGCAGCAAAATCACAAACCAATATCACTTTTTAAAGTGAGGTATGTGATCAATAGGCAATGAAAAGAACCAAATATATTGAAGATGCCTATTTTAAGGATATAATTCCAACAAGCAACTGTTCGTTTTTCTTATGGGGAGTGTGCCCGTTAAGTTTTGATAAATGATAAATTTTCTTCCAGCATCTCTAATTTATAGTATCTTATCATTGAATCATGTTATGTTCCAAGCCAAAATAAGCTGTATTTCTCTTTTGTTTCCTTTAGTTTTCTTTGTATTTCCCTCTAAAGTAACTGAAAGTCTCAAGAGATGTGGAACTTATGGTTCACAACCCTTCAGCTCCAGATAGAGGAATCGTATTTTTAAACTGATCCCTAAATAGAAAGATCTAAAAAAGGAAATATGTGGAGTATGAAAATCTCTTCCCAAAATGCATGAGAGCCTCATAAATTTGGAAACATTCTTTTCTCATAAACTGCTCCAAAAAGAGATGTTTAGGGCTTATAGCTTATATTGGAGGCAATGAAGCAAGCAAGAGAGCATTCCTTCATGTTTGTGGTGGAGAGACTAGTGAATTATGTTCTAAACAAGCATTCTTTCTCCTTTAAAACAACAACAACAACAACAACAAAACCCATGCAAAAAATAATACACTTAAAAGGCTATGGTTCCCAATAAGCCATCACATATTTTACTATAATATTTACAGAAGAGTT